TTGTGTCGTGCCAACCGCTGGCATGTACCTGCGTAACGGTCCGCCCTGGCAGCGGGAAAGTGCATGAACCAAGTCATAAAACAGAATCTGAAAAAGGATCGGACATTGTGCCGGATGCTGCCTCTTATCCGTAACAGGCTTGCGGCAGCACGGGCAAGGCATGCCCTTGACAAGGGTCAGGCCTGATTTGCTGCTCTGAGTTGCAGCTGTAGCGCCATGAGCCGCCCATTCAGGTTTGTGGGCCTGCCGGATGTGAGACTTGAGCTTGGTATTGTCCGGGGTCCAGAACCCACACAGCAAGCAATGTGACATAAGGTCCTGAGACTCATCAGATCGTCCGAGCTCCACAGCCGTGTGTGTTGTCAGAGTGTCATGCAAGCGCTGCTGCCTGGGATGCAATCTGGGCTGATGCTGCGAATCCAAGGGAGGGTGCGCCGCGTCATCCAGCTCCTGTAGCCTAGCTGGCTCCGAGCAGGCACCTGATAGCAAGTGGTCCTTTAAGCCCTTCATCTGAGGGAATTGCCTGTTGCAGGCCGCACACTTGGGGAGCCCTCCTACAGAGAGGGTGTGGGAGAAGCCTCGAGGGACATATCTGATGACCGAGCCTGGATGCTTGCGGGCCTGGTGGGTGCGAAGACCGACCTCAGTGTCGAAGGCCTGAGCACACGTTGGGCACACGAAGGACGGGGGGGCCTCCTGCTGTGATGTGTCCTTAGAAAGTTGCTGCAGAACGTCTGCATAACTAGTAGAGAGTGCCTCCGCCTGGAGAAGCGCGCGCTGGGTTAAAGAGATGTCCCCCGCAGGAGTTTTCCGCCGTCGAGCACCTAAGCGCTTGACACGATTGGCCTGTCGCGCCTGCAGCTTACGGACAGGGTCCATGATCTCATGGGAGGCGTAGAGGTCAGCCGTGGATATGTGTGTCAGGTGCGCTGGCTTGTTCAGGACAGCTCGAATTTTGCGAGCGTGCCAAGCCCGCAACAGTTTAGCTGTCTCTAGGGTCAAGCCCACATCCACCAATCCAGAGGCTACTGTGGCCCAGACAGTGCTATGCCAAATGTGCAACCGCGATGCAGGCCCCGCCGTTCGTCTGTTGTGAACGAAGCGGCGTACCTGCTGCAATTTCACATTGCCCTCCTGCAACCGGAACTTGAGAGTAGCCTTCTCGAAGTTGGAGTAGGAGAGCATGACGCCGAGATACTTAAAGGACGTCACCAGCGGAAAGCCCTCGTGAGACTTGGACTCTCCCAGTCTCCACATCTTATGGCGGGTTCCGTCAGGCGCGGTGCGCCAATAAGTGTGCTTGGAGATGGCGCGTTGCGCCTGTTGGCCCTCGAGTTTGACCATAACAGTGCATTTTGCACCGTTGACAGCAAATCCATGGCGACGGACCAACTGCAACAATTGCTCAATCAGAGCATGAGCGCGATCCAGGTCCTCCATTGAGTGGATGTCACGGTGAACCGTAAGGTCATCTGCGTAGCCCGTGAGGTAGTCCACCACGGCTCGAACCCCAACAAGAGCTATGAGCTCCCGGAAGATGGTGCCCGTAAGCATGGAAAAAAGTGTGGGGGCAAGCTTACACCCCTGTTTAATGCCCGCAGTGGACTGGACCGTGTCCTCTTCACCCTGGGTGCGAAACGTGTAAGCACTGCCAGCATGCAATGAGGCAACTAGGTCAATGAGGTCTTGCGGGACTCCCGCTTCCTGCAGTGTGCTAAGCAAGTCTGTTCTGCTCACCATGTCAAAGGCTTGTGACAAGTCTAGTGCAAAGCAGATGCCACCTACTAGCTGGGGACGAGTTCGTCCCGAGTGAAGCTGATGCCTGGTTCGTCGGGCCTCCTGGCAGTTATTGCGTACCTGAGTGACATGACCAACGACCCTGCTCAAGGCATCTGAAAGACCGCGATGTGGCTGGTAGGCAAATTGTGGGAGACCCCGAAGATAGTCAGCCGTGTAGGGAGACAGCTGATCTCTACAAGCCCCCGCCAGGCCCTTGCCGTCTGGTCGAATGATGCCGAGGGGACGTAGATTGCCAGGCTTCGTGGCCGGCTTGTTAGGCTTTGGGATAAAACACAAGTCAGCATCCTTTAAGGGCGGCTGAAGTACCTCAGCAGCCGGCAATGGGCGTTGCCCCCGAGATTGCAGCGATGCTGCTAGCGCCTCTCCCGCAGCCGCCGAGCAGAGCCGCCAGGCAGCCGCCGGAGCAGAGCCTTGCGGTACCGCCTTGTGCGGTCTGATGGAGCCTATGTGCTTGGCCAGCAGACCAGCCGGGATTTCCGGCAGCGAGTCCACCTGGTGTGCGAGTGGCGGATGTCTGGCAAAGACCTGTTCCACGTGGTCTCTAAGCAGGCGGAGCTCAGAGGTAGAGTCCAACAGCAGACCATCCGGTCCCTGAAGCTGTGCCTTAGTTTGGGGTTCCCAAGGTCGGAGCTTCTTTAAGGTCTTATGTGCGATGTAGGAATCGTGTCTGGCACACGCCTCATCGACCTCAGCCTGGAAAGCTCGGTGTCGTTCCTTCTTGGCTAAGTAGAGAGCCTGCTTATGCCATCGATTCAGGTCCTCCAAAGACTGATCTAGGTCGGATAAGGTGGTTATGGAGTCCTCATGCAAAGAACGAATATGAGCGACTCGACTCCACATTCGCAGCGTCGCACGGTGCTGAGCAGTTTCAGGAGCTTGCTGAGGCCGTGGTTTGGGGAAAAACAGTGCAGAGGCCTCCAGCAGTACCTGATTAACTTCATCAGGCGTGTGAGTCCGAGAGGACAGACGCTGGCCCACCCAGTCTTGCATGCGACCGGCTATTGGCAGACCTGAACGGACAGCCGTCTCTAGAGCTTCCTTATGAAAGGTCGTGGAAGGACAAGTAGGCTTTGGCAGATTCCAGTGCTGGGTGGGTCTGAGTTGAGCCAAGACTGGAAGGTGGCCGCCCCTCTTCCATTTGCCGAGCTGAAGATCCTTGCACGGCCGAGACTGCTTTGCCAGGCCCTTGGCCGAGGCTTCTGAAGTGAGCAGGAAGTCAATTTGTGATCCCTGACCATTCAGGAAGAAAGTGTGACCTGCACCACTAGACCATGTGTTAAGAGCTACCAACCGATGGGAGGAGACTAAGGCTTGGAACGATTCATCCTGCATCTGAGTTTGCTCTGGCTTGGTGCTACACTGACCTACCAGACCCTCCTGCGGGGTCAGTCGAGCATTAAAGTCTCCTGCCAAGAGAAAAGTATCTCGCGCTGGAATGGCCCGTATCGCAGCCGACAGATCGCGGAGCAGGTGTGAGCGGTCATCCTTGTTCTGCTGTGGAGTCTTCTTAGAAGACCAGGCATGTTGGTAAACCGCTAGTACATGCACACGAGCCCCAAGCCACGGGAAGATGACCTGAATGAGCCTTCCCCGGCGTTGCTCGCGCCATCTTATCTTCTGCTTGTCTATCTGCGGAGAGAGAAGAACCATGACGCCGTCCGCTCGGCTTGTGTCGTGAACAGCCGGCTGCGTGGCAGCGCCTTGCTTGGGGCGTTGCCCTGAAGTGGCTTTACCTTTAGGTGCTCGAGCAGCCCCTTTTGTGGCGGAGCTTACGCAGTGCCAGCCTTCGACATCAAATTCTGCTGTCTCACTCCAGTGGGTTTCCTGAAGGACAAGAATGTCACAGACTGACTTGGCCTCCGTGCGAAGCCATGTCTTCACTTCTGCCCATTGTTGCATGCCAAGGTGCCCTGCATTCCAGGAAAGAACACGAAGAGACTTGCTGGCACGACCGCCTCTCGGGCGCGAGCGGAAACTGGCGGAGAAACCTGAGGGACCTGAAGGAGAAATCGTGGAGCTAGGCTGCACTGGGAGGGGGGGAGGGGAGGGGGGGGTGAGTCCACTGCGACGCAGATGTTCAGGCGTCAACGTACCATTCCGGCACGGGATGCTTTCTTGTGTTCTATGAACCTTATTGCAAGCCTTGCGAAAGGCCTTCTTGCGAATGCTCTCAAATGAATGCTGGTGCATTGGCGATTGCGCCGTCCGCTAGTTTCGCCGGAAAGAGAGAACTCGAACCGACTCCTTTCACCCTGCGGAAAAGGTGAAAACCACTACCGCTTACCTCATGCCAAGGTTGTATAACTGCAGACAGAGGCCCGGGAATTGGGACCCGGTAGATCACAGCGACACGCGGCTCCGGGAACAGCTATGGCTCAGTAAGAGGACGGTCCCTTAAGCTTCGCAGAAGGGGCACGTTGCGAGCCTCTAGCGTTGGTACCCAGAGCCTTGTTAGCAAAGCTACACAGCCTGCTGTGATCCATAGCGGCTACAACAACAACAACAACAACAGCAACAGCAACAGCAACAGCAACAGCAACAGCAACAGCAACAACAACAGGGTAACAACAGCAACAACAACAACAAAAAAAAAGCTGGGAGCTGTTCTGATAGCAAACCCACATTATGGTGATGCCACTGAAGATAATCTTGATAGTGCCGCTCCTCATCACAATCTCAGTACAGTACTATACTGAAACACTGTATACTGGATCTCCTAAGTTCTACGCAGTACGCTATCTGTTCAATGGTGTGCGAACATATAACTATATATCTACCTACCTACCTACCTACCTACATGCATACATACATACATACATACATACATACATGCATACATACATACATAATTAGTTAACACAATCATGTATGCGTTGTAATTAAATATGTGTGTGTGAACATGTGTGTATGCATGTATGTATGTGTATGTATGCATGTATGTATAGACATGCAGACATGTACATGCATGCATGCATGCGTGCATGCATACATATGTACGCACGTACATACATACGGTCAGGAAGACATGTTCTCGCAGACATAGCTATATAGATGGATAGACAGATAGGTAGGTAGGTAGGTAGGTACATAGTTTGATAGACAGCTAGATGTATACACATACATCTAGATGTTTTTCCAATGCAGTCCCCAGATGTTCAGCAGGGACCTTGGAGCGTCTCCGGGGGGACTTCGAGTCTTCCGGGCCCTGCCCCATCCACGGGGTAGACGATGGCATCCAGAAGCCTTTTAGGGCCCCTTTGAGGCTTAGGCTTTCGGGTGTCAGTTAGGGTTCCCCTGTAGTAATTCCGTAAGGATTGCTCGAAGAGTGACTACGTGGGTTCCATAATTTAGGGTGCCATAAGGGTTTCAGGTCTGGAGTGCAACAGAGGGTAATGTATGGTTGGTAGGAGGGTTTAAGGCTTCAAGGGTGCAGGGGGCTTGGGATTGACGGAGTTTAGGGTTTAGGGGTCTACGTTGATTGCGGATGATTCATGCTGAAGGATAATCATGTCCCCGACCTTCTTGCAGTTACTGCAAAGCACCTGCAAGACATCCGAAGACAAGTCTTGAAAGGCCCAACACATGGATAAATCGGAAAACAGATCACACGGGAGCCGGTCAAGTATCCAGCTCGTTCGGATTGGGGTGTAGGCTCAGTGGAGGAAGGCACGACGATAGCACTGATGTTTGGGTGTGTCCTAGGAGGATGGAGTGACAATCACGAAGACTTCCTGCGTTGACTTTCGTAACAGGCAGAACGAAGCACTGAAGTAACACCCGGACGACCAGTACGTATACTACAAACGGCTGCGCACACGAACTTGTAGGTTCTGCTTGCATGCACCCATCACATAAGGCATACGCTTACGTTAAGAACACCGTTGCAGTATCAGGCAGGCATCTACAGTGTTTGTGGCACTTCCGTTGGAGTAGCCTTGATAACTAGGCTAGGGCTCTGGGGTATGCTATCACGTAGGAATTTTATGGGACTATAGGGAGAGAGGCGAAGCCCTCGGATTAGCTTTGAAATCTTCGGGCTTGAGCCCTTGCACCTAGTGTGGTTCCTGACCTTGGGTATACGCTCTTGGATGCAAGAGCCCTGGACGGAACCATGAGACACGGGTCAACCCCGAGGAGTGACCAAACATGGATGCATCTCTAGAATCTCCAAAACCGACAGAAAGAAGCACAAACCCCGAACCCTATCCCTGAATCTGATGCGTTACAAACCAAAGTGCTCCCACACTTGGTGAGGCAGGAAGCTTCATGTCATTCGGTCCGGTAAAGCGGGTGGCCCAGGCCGGCATGGCATAATAGGGATCACCTTCCTGCACAGGGACTTCAGAACGAACCATCTTGCGGTAACCGGAGTTAAGCTAAGGGTCCCATCTCCGTGGTTTCACGTGCGGGAAGCGAGATTTGCTTCTACTCAACTCTGCGCCTTGATGCGAGCCTCACGTGAACTGCACAAAGAAGGGTGCGGCACGGCGTGTGAGTCGCTCACACGACTTCTGGCTTTCTACAGTTCTGACTCTCATCATCAGGTCTATCTGAACTCCTGTCTCCGCAAACACTCAAGAATCATCGAACATGTGCCTCCTGTAACCATATCCCGGCAAGCCCCATTGCACAGGCTCTTAGGAGAACTCATGGTCTACGAGTCCACGGCCGTTTCATATTACAAGGTTTCAGAAGGGCCGGGTTGACAAAGTCTGTATGGTCAAACTCACTGTGCCTGATGCTATTTTCAGTACTCCATATATCCATCATCATAGTTCGTATACATGTTATTTGTTCATGTGGGATCGTAGATTCGGTGGACCACTCTAATGGCCCAACCTCCGGCACCACGTAGAGCTTGTACTTGGATCCGATTGGCATGGTCGGAATGCTGCAGCTCCAAATATCCGGCAGCGACTCCTCCTGGTGGACTCGCACTTACAGAACGAATGCACTGCAGTCACTGCAGTATGTGCACTATAATACAAGATCGCGTGTGGTGTAAAACACGAACTTATAATGACTTGCAATGCAAGACCATCACCTCTCTGATGTCCTCAAATGTTGGTACATTTAAACCACATCTTGTGGGAGGATTGTCGTCATACGAGTCTGCATCAGCAGCGCATTACTGCAAGAAGGCCAGGCCTGTGCCAGGGGCGTGGCGCTAGTGTCCCAGCCATTAAAGTCCCCGACCAGATAAACTGCAGCTGCATAGGGCATCCATTCGCAGTACGTCCATTCAGAGCCGTCTCGCTGGAGACCGAATGTCTTATAGCTTTCGGCAAGCTTGGCTAAGTCGCCGCCACATGCGTCCAAGTGCTCCTGAAACGCAGCCAATCTGCTCTTGGACTGCTCCAGCTCCGAGACCTGTTCGTGCGTAGTCTCCGCAAGTGCGGCATCCAGAGCCTCCAAATCCATGAAGTGCAGCCCGGAGTAGCACCGCGTCATGTCACGAACGTCCACCCCGGCTTCTTCTGAAGCCTGGGGCTCAGCTTGCGGTTCTGCCGCCACAGGTGGTGGCTGTGCCACAGGTGGTGGCTGCGCCACGGGTGGTGGCTGGGCCGCAGGCGTGGGCTGCGCCGCCGGTTTGGGTTTGGAATAGCCGCCAAGTCGCTCAGCAGCCGTCATCGGCTTTGGTGAAGGCGTTTCTGGGGTTGCTCTCGTGGGCGCCTGCTGTGGCGCTGGTTGCGGCGCCGGTTGCGGCGCTGGTTGCGGCACTGGCTCTGGCACTGGCTGGGGTGCTGGCTGCGGCGCCGGCTGGGCTGCTGGTTTGGGTGCCGGTTGGGGCGCCGGCTTGGGTGCTGGCTCGGGCACTGGTGCGGGTTCTTCTGGTTGCTCCTGGACTGGTTCAGGCTGACCTTCAGGTCGCCCGTTCTTGAGGTAGCCCAGGTGTGCCACAGTGTATTCACCCGGAAAATATATTCGGAATCTAGTATCCTTGGAGGCCTTGCAAGGCAAGATGCAGTTGTCTGCCGTGACAATGTCGAAGGTTGCGTCAAAGTTGTCTTTCAAATGAACGGCTCCATCCTCAAAGTCAAAGTCTAACATCTCCTCATTCCCGTCCTTATGGATGACCAGAGACCTTATCTGAGTTGACAGAGTGGCTGCACCAGCCTAAGAACGAGAAGGGCGTTCAAGCTTTTCATTGAAAAACTCGGTGCAATTCAAACCCTTGAAAACTCTTTTCTCAGTGCCAACAGAGGGACAGCTTGAGGCCGTCTGCACTTTCCAGATCGTACTGGCCCAAGAAGCTGTCTTCAACCTGAGCCGGCTCTGTGCGACAGACAAATACTTCGGGGATTCTGGCTCTGCCCGTCACCCGGGAGACACTAGAAGCAGGATGATCTCTCCGGCCGGCAGGACAGCGAAGAACTGCTGCTGCTTTCCGTGGAGTCACACGGTGCAGATTTCTTGAGACTCCTAAGGCATCTCTACACCCTGAACCGCCAGAGCCCGAACTATTCCACAAAAACCTGTAGGCCCTGCAACGTGCTGCGCCCTCTCGGCGTCTTCGCAAACCCTGTGAAGTGCTGAGCTCGTAGCATAGACGTGAATTCCACCCTCCAGCCTGCTCTGCCTGCGCTGCAGAGAAGGAGCTCGCGGCGTCATGTACTTTGCGTGTTAGCAACCCTTGCTATGATCATGGATATACTTCGAACGTGATCCCAGTACTTCTGGAGCCATAGATCACCATGCAGTGCACTTTTCCACGTTCAAAACGAACTGCTAGCAGTGATTGCCTGCCGTCGTCTCGGCCTTTCGCTGCTACATGCAACCCTGAGGGCCCCGTCTAACCTCGACATGCCACTGGACTGAGCAGTCTGAGTACAGGGAGATTAGGCTGACACATGGGTTTTCTGTCTATAGCAATGTTCTTGTTGACAAGAAAGACCGAACACAGTAGCCAAAATATCACTGATTTGTCAGAAGTTGGAAACTACTGTAGCAGTGGGACTTCATAAACGGAGTCGTCCACGGTCAACACACCTGGCCTGCAAAGCACCTGTGCTGTGCGGGAGGGCATGTACAGCCTGGGCTTGCTTGAGCAAGCGGAAGGCTGTCTTCTACATGTTGTAAGGTCATACAATACATACTGCGTATCGTGCATTGTATCGGATACACTCTGTTTTTTCTGTGTATTTATATATAAGCATTACATACTACATATATAAACCAAGACGCAAACAAGGACGCGACAAAACGGGATAAAGCCTGTCTCCGAGGTTTGGGCGACAGTGGTCGTCCCACTGCCCAGCTCAAAATGTGGAGTCTCAGACTACGACGCCCGGTTTGAGCTTAGGGCCTTTTTTGGTTTGGAGTTATTGAGGCCTTTAGGCTTTGGGGTTTCAAGCTTTGGGATGCAGGTTTCAGCTTGTGGTGTCTTCCTCGATAATGACACGGTGACAGTATGTCGCTCAATCTGCAAGTCAGAGTCGGGATTTCTTGTATTCTTAGGCGTCTGAAAGCACCGGCCCCCTTGCTGGCTTGGAACTACAAATCATTGCCGAAAACCCTCAACATGATAGGATACAGTGCAGTGCAACATGAGAACATAAAGCAACCCAACAAGCTTGGGGCCCTGGGGGGAAGACATGTGCCTAGATGTACTTTTTCAGAACGCGGAACGCATTTACTGAAGGGGCCGAGATCTAAAGACCGAACTTCAAATCCGAATCTTCGGTAATTAAACCGCACTCCCGGTCATGGCAATATGCCGGACAAGCGACGTCACTAAACGACTGGCTTTCACAACTGACAACCAACCCACTGGGACCCATTAACCTTGGGATCGCGATACATAAACATGTGCGTACATGTACATACACATGGGTATGTGTATGTACGTATTTAGGTGGTAGGTAGGTAAGGATGGACACACACACACACACACACGTGTGCTTGAGTGTATGTACGTGCGAGCGTACATGTGTTTACATGTGTGTGTATATATATATATATATATGTGGCATTACACATACACAGACTATACATATATGCAATCATATGCATAGGTATTCTGTACCCAGGGCTCTTGGGTTTGCCATTGGCCCCTTAGAGCCTCAAGGGATCCTCCACTGTGTCAAACCTTCCTGGAGGAATCCCAGTGCCGGCGGTTCACGAAGGTTTAGGGTTTAGGATTTAGGGTTTATTAGGGTTTAGGGTTCAGAAAACCATAGAAGTCCGCTATGTCTGAGAAATGTATAGGAAAGGTGACAGCAACCAAGCACAACCTATGGCGACACTCAAGTCACTCTGAGCATAAATCCCAGAGCCCGGGACGTGCCCAAGAAGCTAAGGTCGTCGAGCTACGATCTTACGCAAGACCGATCAGGGACACCTCTGAGACCTCTGGAAGTGAAGTTCAGAGATGCTTTTTAATCAATCCGAGAAAAGAGTGAAACTGTGTGCTAAATCAGTATGCATGTGCTTGAAATGCCAGTCGAATGTGATTCTTCGAAATCCCAAAGCCGCTGGATGCGACCCTGCCAGGCAGCTTGACGGAATGTGGGCGCTTGTCCAAGCCATGCAGAGGCGGAAAAGGATGTCCATGACCATAATCCAGACCTTTACCAAGAGGAGGATGCGCACAATCGAAAAGATCCACCCAAAACACAGCTTCAACAACCCTACGAAACCGTCACTTGTGGCAGCTTGGCACTCTTGGGGCCGCTGGGTGCGTGTGCTTTCTTGGAGGCAGCGTGCTTGTAAGGGAACCGGCGACCGATGAGGCCCGCACGCATATGGCCACCGAATCTGCCCTCGTCCGTGTCCAGGACGCAACGCATGGGTTCATCCTGGGCGTCCGGTGAGACGGTTCTGCGAAGTCCTCCCCACACCCCAATGTATCCTTCCAACCAGCACTCCTTGGAGCTGTTGAAACAACACAACAACAATAAAAAACCCTTGAAGCTGAAACTCCATGAGCCTCGGGCTGGCGTTTGGAAGCTTTGCGGCTTCCGACTTTAGAGGCTCAGGCTTCCGGGGTTTAGGGCCGAGGGTGGTGTGGCAGCGATGTACTGCAGATGCCGATATCTACAGCTGCTTGGGAACATGGCATCAACAAATCTCTCTCGGATCTGTGCCTAAAGACCCAATAAAATGTGCGCAAGCCTAATCTCTATAACCTCACGGAGCGGAATCCCCGCCCAACACCGAAAATACAAACCTTTAATCCTATCTGCAAGCCCTGAACCATGAATAAACCTGAAGTTTTAAACCGTTAATACCTAGACCCTACATGCGAACCCTAAACCCTGAACATCTGAACTCCACTCCCCCGCAGGGCTCAACCTTGACTCAGGGCTCGACCGAGTGAGTTCCGATCTGGTAGCCCTCGTAGCTGTTGCAAGGGTGGAAGTTGAAGGCCTGAGATCTGCAGGCCTTCGGGCTTCCCTACAACCATTTTTAAAGGTTTAGGGTTTAGGGTTCAGGGTCTAGGGGTTTAGGGTTTAGGGGTTTAGGGTTGAGGGGTTTAGGGTTCAGGGGTCCAGAGTTTAGCGGTGTAGGGATTTAGGGTTTAGGGATTTAGGGGTTTAGGGTTTAGGGCTTTAGGGGTTTAGGGTTTAGGGTTTTAGAGTTTAGGGGTTCAGGGTTTAGGGTTAAGGGCTTCGGGTTTAGGGTTTCTGTGAACCAAATAGGGCTTTCTGTTGAAATGTGGCTGGCTCTGCAGCCCAAGAGGATCGCCGAGCGTCAGAGGATGGGGACTCCAGAATGGGAGGTTACTGTATTACCTGTTCTGTCACAGACGTTTAGTTAGGGCTTATAGGGCTTAGGGCTTAGGGGATTCATTGTTGAAAACCTGAAAAGGTGCTCGAAATTTCGGAGGGTCCACGGCTGAAACCGGGCCGTTTGCTGCAGCCGAGGGTCAAAGACCAGCTCACCACGCTCGAAGATGATGACCTGGGGACTGACGAGGTCGGGCAACCAAACTGCAAAATCAAACACCATACTTGCATATTATGGGCGCTGAGAAGGCAAGCTTACTGAGGACAACCCAAACAACAAGCACAGCACGAATCACCAACCACACTCTGCATGATTATTTACGGTCGAAAAACGATGCAAAATCCTGCCTTGTCCATCTCATCCTTCTTGCTAACATACTGGTGATGCGCGTTGACGAAATTGAAGCGGTTCTCACATGCCTCGCAACAGTTCGTCCGACTGCATGGCCCCGCAGCCCCACAACTCGAAACTTCTACGATATGCAGCCAAGCTAAGGGGAAGCTTTTTAGCTACAAACAAGGCCTCCTCCACGCAGAAGTCTGAACCGGGATCCTTGATCTCTTTCTCCATGATCGATAAAGAACTGTTTACAGTCCCCCGACAGTCTTGAGCGACTGCAGTGTCTGACCACTCTCAATTTGTTTTCCCCTCTTCTGCTTCCAGCTGTCTACCTTTACCCCTAAACCCTAAACCATACTAAACCCTAAACCCGCGCACGGAGGCTCTCTAGACACGACTGTTAGCCCTCAAGCTGAAACCGCATGTGAGCTCGTCATTTCCTTCTGGTCCCTCTCCCTCCCTCTCTTCCTTATCTATCTCTCCCTGTCTGCCCCTCCTCCATCTATATATATATATATATAAATATATAAATATATATATATATATATATATGTACACACATATTTTTTCGGTATACATATCTATCTCTCTCCCGCTCTCTCAGTTTCTTCCTTCCGCCGCTTTCCCAAACCTGCGCCGGAAGACCTTGCTCCGCTTTGCGTGTCAGAATCACAATCTACAGGTGATATTCTCTTTCGCCTTCTGTTCCCTCCCCTCCTTTTCAACACTTGGCGTGGGGCCTGTGCATTTGTTCTCCTTGCTAGCTGATCGCTACCACCCAGTGCCAAAGCCGACTTCTGAAAAAAAACTCGTTCATGCCATACCATACCATACCAGAATACCAGAATACCATAATATCATAATGCCATACCATACGATGCAGCCCCTCTTGGAATTCTTAAACCCAATACTACAGGAAAAAAGGCAGAGTTCCAAACAGGCCGCCTGCAGAGCTACCATAACCTCAAGAATCAAAACAGGGCTCCTTTAAAGGGGCCCATAAGGGTTACTGTAAGGGATCTTTTCAAGGGTACTATAATATAGGGCCTGAATAATTCGAATAGGGTTTTATGGGGCCAGTTATACTCTAATTATGATAAGGAAGCCCCAAACAAGTATTAATAGTTATTTAAGCTCCTACATTACTGGAACCCAAAAGCCAAAGCCAGCCCACACGACCCAAAGCCTGCATCAGCTCTTCGAAGCTTTGGAAGAACTTGTATCTTAGCAGGTCGTCTTCGGCGAGATCCCAACCTGAAGTGATCGTAGCAGTCGCAGTCGCAGTGGCAGGAGTCACGGAACACTACTGATGATACTAGTGGCGGTAGCTGTAGTAGTCGAAATCGTAGTCGTAGTCGTAGCCGTAGTAGTAGTAGTAGTAGTAGAAGAAGTAGTAGTAGTCGTAGTCGTAGTCGTAGTCGTAGTCGTAGTCGTAGTCGTAGTCGTAGTCGTAGTCGTAGTAGTAGTAGTAGTAGTAGTAGTAGTAGTAGTAGTAGTAGTAGTAGTAGTAGTAGTAGTAGTAGTAGTAGTAGTAGTTCGTAGTTTGTAATAAGTAGTAGTAGTAGTAGTAGTAGTAGTAGTAGTAGTAGTAGTAGTAGTAGTAGTAGTAGTAGTAGTAGTAGTAGTAGTAGTAGTAGTAATAGTAGTAGTAGTAGTTGTAGTTGTAGTTGTTGTTGTTGTTGTTCGTAGTTTGTAATAAGAAGAAGTAGAAGTAGTAGTAGTAGTAGTAGTAGTAGTAGTAGTAGTAGTAGTAGTAGTAGTGGTAGTAGTAGTAGTAGTAGTAGTAGTAGTAGTAGTAGTAGTAGTAGTAGTAGTAGTAGTAGTTCGTAGTTTGTAATAAGTATAGTAGTAGTAGTAGTAGTAGTAGTAGTAGTAGTAGTAGTAGTAGTAGTAGTAGTAGTAGTAGTAGTAGTAGTAGTAGTAGTAGTAGTAGGAGTAGTAGGAGTAGTAGGAGTAATAGGAGTAGGAGTAGGAATAGTCGGAGTTGGAGGAAGTAGGAGTAGTAGGGATAGTAGGAGGAGTAGTAGTCGTCGTGATGGTGGTGGTGGTAATAGTAGAGGTAGTAGCAGTGGTAGTGATAGTGGTGGTGGTAGGGGTCGTGGTAGTGGTAGTGGTATAGTGGAAATAGTATTGGCAGTGGCAGTGGTAGCAACAGCGTTGACCTGACAAAAGTAACGTTATTGATCAAGTACCTTCATTATCCAGGTGGTTTCGCTGTCTGGTAGGTTAACCGGATGAATCGTGTGGTTACTTGGTGGTTATGCTGGTCTCTGCCGCTGGCAATATGGTTGCCGACGCTCTTCTTCTCGTTGTTGCTGTTGTCGTTGATATTGGTGCTGCTTCTGCCGTTGCGGTCGTCATTGTGTTTGAAGCTGTTGTCGTTACTGACGTTGTGGCTGTCGCCGTTGTCGGCTCGTGAGTCGTTGGTGTTCGTCCTGGCGGCGCGGCGATGCTGCTTGTGCGCATGCTGATACTGGGAAGTGGTCATCTTATCATGTTCAAAACCCTCGCCTTAAACTGTAAACCTAAGCCCATTCCCTGAGCTTCGGCAGGAGGTAGGCTCATTCCACTCCAGGCCGACACTCAAACCTAGCATGGCTAAGAATCCGCCGTAGAGCCCTGGACCCTAAACCTGAGAAACAAGGTTGTGAGAAAGCGATGGCGACGGTGAGTTGAAGCCGAAGATGTGCACGCACGAGCAAGCGATTATGTGTGCCGTAGATACGGCATGTATAAATGCATGAATGCACAACCGAAAGTACCAATGTGTGATACCAGGATACACATACTGGCTGAGGCTTTCAGCAACAATACATTGCCACGAATCTGTATACTTATGTGAAAAATTTCTCCTAATAGTTACAATATTGCCTTTCGCATCGTGAATGAAATCGATAGTTCCCAAAAAGCACACTAAAACACAGCCGTAGCCACGTCGTCTGCAGTGATGATGACTCCAGCCATTCTCAGGACGAGGGAAATCGATCCACTCTGGATGTCCGAACTCGTTGCCCATGAAGTTGAGATATCCCTTCCCGCATCGACAAGAATTGAAGCTTCATCTGAACGCATTCAAAGCTTGGCTTAGCAGTCCCTGCAGCGGATTGTCTGGAGAAAGCATGTCACTGCTTCTGAACCATGGTTGGGGAGTGGCTCGCATGCTTCTCTCCCTGCCACCGTCATGACGAGAATAACATGAGAGAGCACCGTCAGTGATTATGACACTGATCTCATGATAATGATGATGATGAATGTGGTGATGAGCATAGAGTATGATGAATGATACTGGCAACTGGCTTCTTTCAACGCTGCTGGATCTTCTGCTTTTCGAGATGCCTCGCCGCCGAGACCGAGGACCAGCAGTCGGATCATCTTGTGCAGCCTGAGCATGCGAGAAACGCTAGCAGCTTCGACCCTGATGCTGCAGGGGACCCAGATCGCAGGGTGGGAAGGAACTCTGAGTCACTGACGCAAGGCCACGATCCACACACATTGAAGGTTGCGGACTTGTGAAGACGCTCATTCCTGTGTACCTCGCGGAATATCCGGGAAAGAGATCAGAGCAGAGCTGAACAGGCGAAGGTCACATTTCGGCGTCCATCAGCCAGAAAGCGAGCGTCTTGTCGCCTACAATGGCCTGGCACATCCGCGCAGACTTCAGGCAACGCAGCTGGAAGAGTCACGGCGGACAAAACCTCATGAAGAAACACCCGTCAAAGCCTGATCATGTGACTCGCAGTAGGCGATGACCTTGCGGCATCATGGTGCCCAGCACGCCAGACTGCTAGATGATTTGTGGGAGTGGCCTTCTCCATGTATCTGCGGTTGGTCAAAGTGTGCACCAGGTGTCCCATGTTCCACCCGTCGTCGGTGCACTGGCGCGAATGAAACTCAATTAAAGACATCCTCTTGGGACAAACGCAAGCAGCATGCAGCTTCGCGCCTCTTTCAGGTACCTCAATGTGTGCAAGAAAAGCAAGGATGCTGAAATATCAGGCGTGCTACTATCCGGCACCTCTACCTGCAGATACTTGCCTTCAAGGCTCTGGCAGACCCTACAGAACTGGCAAGCCACTAATCATTGCCCAGCCCAGGACATGCAAAGCGACTAATGTCGCAACGTCACTTAATGAACATATCCGGAATGGCCATGGCCAGGCGATAGTCGAATCCTCGGAGCACACTCTTAGGGCTTAGGGTTTAGGGTTTTGGGAACAGACAGACTGGCTTTCGTCAGGGGCTTCGACTTGCGGCTTCGGGTTTGCAGGGTTTAAGGTTAGGGCGTTTTTAGGTGTGGGGTTACGACTAAGAGAGCGGCGACCACATACAGACACTTGCGGCAGCTCTTGACTTCCCTCTTCCCGGAACTCGGACATGCTATGACACAGCGAGAGCAGGCGAACGTCAGAAAACACGGGACCCTGATACGGAACCCTACCCAGTAGGATCCTTGATATGACGGTCCGCGCAAAGAGCGACCCCCTAATTCAGGCATCCGACAATCAGGAGCAAAAGAAGGATCCGCCGAACAAGTGCTTCGCTCCGGGAGGTTTGGTTTGATTTGAAGGGGTCTCTTAGGGTTATTACTTAAGAAGAGATACTTTAAGGGTTGAGTCTACACCCTGAGTATCTGGTAATACAGTTCCTAGGGTTCCTTAATTAATGCATTGCAGTAAATAGACATAGACCCTCTACGCCCTGAACGTTAGAAACTCGAACCTGCACCCTCGACCAAATTCAGCAATTCTCACAGACTCGAACTCGGTCGACCTCCCAACGTACGCCCTGGGTCAATCCAAGAATCCACAGGTCCTGAACACTGAATAAGACAATCAAGGGAAGTCATGTGAAGGTGCCTAGATTGTGATTCGAACAGGGTTTTGGCGTATATTTCTGTAAAGCTACAAAGGAACGGGAAGGCAACAGCTGTAACGAATTACGCAGTTCCCTTTAGTACGATGGTACTATTATAGATACAGAGCGGCACGATCAATGCACCGGAGTCTTCTGCTCTTGCCATTCTAACCCAATCAAAGTCACTCCATAACCCTATAAACCCCTGAACCCTAAACCCATAAACCCTAAGCCGAACGGACGTAGCAACAAGTCCACTATGAGTCGATGCTGAACATCCCATTTCATCGCCCATGTCTGCAAGCCCTAGTACTAGACAGTAAGTCCTGAAAATGCAAGCCTCTCTACCCCTTGTAACAGCTTACAAACAACCCCGCAATGAAACAAGATGTAAAACCGCTGATATAATCTGACCCTAACCCCTGAAACCTAGACGCTGAGCCCTAAACCCGAACACCGAAACCGTAAGTCCTAAGACCCTAGATCTGGAAACCTAAATCGTCAGGTTGAGCGCCGGACCAAAGCCTCCCCAATCCACTGGCAAACACAGGGTCGGCATACCGCTCACGTCCTCTTGCAACCATGGTTTTGTAGGGCGAAAATTGGAGCTGTTCATTTTTTCGACAGGCCGGGGATGCACTCCTCCGTAGCAATATGGGACATGAAATACTCCGCTGGCCAGGCCATGTAATTCGAGCTTCTTGGCACTCCGCTACTCCGCAAGACATTTTAAGACAAAGAAGGTGAAGCAGGACGAAAGCTCTTGATGTAGGGCTTACGTAGGGTTCAGGGTCTTGAGTATGCATCCATGTATGCATGCATGTCCATATGTACCTATGTAGGACCGAATGTCTGCGCGTATGTAGGGTCAGCCCTGTCGTCTGTGACGGTACCCGTGTATGTATACAGGTATGTGTATGTACGTGACGTATGTGGATGTTTATGTATGTATCTGATTATGTTGTAATGCTTATATGCTTATTAGGCATGTATGTATTTAGATAACGAGGGGTGTATGTATGGTGTGTAAGTATGTACGTATGCATGTATGCTTGTATGCATGTATGTTTGCATGCATGCATGCATGCATTCGTGTGCATTCTTCGAAAACGGTCTTATATGTAGATAGACACATAAATGTATGTATATATAAATACATATGTATTCGATACGCATACGGGTAGCATACTCGGCAGGACAAGGGAGGATTGAGGGTTACATGGTCCATTGTGCTGGGGTCGCGGGAAATACGCTTTTCATGACTAATTATGCTGCTCTTTGTCTGCTCCTTTCCAAGCTGATCCGGCTTTTCACTGAACGTGTATATGTCACGACCGCGAGTGTCCCAAAGCATGTCCTCGCCAACTGTCACTGCTGAAGGGACGATACGATGGATCAGATCGTTTGCCAACATGAGGTAGATGTGGCCTCAGTCGCACACGAATGTTAATTTAACATTTGCGGTGCAAGATTCTGCAATGATAGTGGCCACAGCAGTAGTGCCGTAGTAGTAGTAGTAGTCGTAGTGGTAGTGGTAGTAGTAGTAGTAGTAGCAGTAGTAGTAGTAGTAGTAGCAGCAGGAGCAGCAGTGGCAATCAGAACTTTCAGCGTTGACATGACGATTGTTACTGCCTCTGCTTCTTGTATGACTACTAAGCACTGTTGCAGGCGTATATCAACCAACCAAACAATCCAACAAGATCGCGTTGCCTAGTTCGTGACAAAGGTTGTTTTAAGTTCCTATAAGACTTTATCAACGAACGGCTGCAAGGTGAAGAGGATGGAATGGCGCGGATTTGGGGTGGTTGTGAGCTCGTGATCAGAAAAGTTCTGACCGCGAAAACTTGACTGCTTGACACAGGAAGAACATCTGAAAGAATGTCTGATGAAAGGGAGAGCTGCAGCGAACAGAGACATGGAAACCAGACTGATTAGGCAACCCAAATGCATGCAGAATTCTGCAGCGGCTGGCCAAAGCAACGAGGATATAGTTCAATTAGGTAACTGTGCAATGAAGTAGTTAGCCAATTAACGAGCCAAGTACTTCACTGATTTCAGTAATCCAGTATTTCTTAATGAAATTTGCTCATTTTGTCAGTTGTACTCACCCATTCTTTCATTCATTAGTTGATCATGTTAAAGCTGCTGAGGAAAGAATTTTGATCGCCACGTCATGTCTCAAAGCTCCAAACTCGCAGGTGGTGGTGACGTTTGCAGCTAAGGGACTGTCGATGTCCGCATCTGGACCGAAGTACTCGTGGTAACCACCAGTATAGCCCTTGCCGATGCCATGAGACTGGTACCTGGGCTTAACACACGAACACAGCATGCCCGAGCCGCTTCGATAGAAGCCTTCCGGCACTTGTCCGTAGCGTGTGCCCCAGGCCCATCGTTGCTGAATTTGGGGAAGGTGCAGCATCGAAGTGATTCCATCAAATCGGAAGCCATCGAACTGGTACTCCTCGAGCCACCACTTCACGTTCGACAGAAGAAATCGCAGAACCTGAAGACAAATTGGCGATATAGTACACGTCCCCGAGACAGAGAGCGAGCTAGCAGCAGGAGCAGTGGCCAACCGCCCCCCATGCCTCGTACTTGAGGTAGTTGAAGATCTTCGAGTCCCACTCGGAATGATGGCCCTCCAAGTAAAACAACCATGCGGCAATCCAAGAGGGAAGCTACAAAACCTACTGGCATAAGTAAGTCAAGCTTGCAAATTGCTTGCTACCATCGCAACCCCCCTGCACCAGTCTTGCGCAACCTAAGGGTCGCATTCTCTCAACCTCCGAAACTCGGCTCCAAAAGTGACTTCACGACAGAGTCAGCACCTTGGGGCCGCCATGGGTGTAACAGTGATCTGTGCCATCCATCCTGGGGCTCACATGGAAATCTACCCCAAGAAGCCTATCACGATGGGTCACGAGTAATATCATCCTTTATAATGACCTCATCCACGTCCACATCCTTCATCATCCGTTGTAATAGTCATCATCATTGACCCGGGCTCCTTGCCATCACGGCTTATCGTTGTCGTACTCGTGGTGAGGATGGTGCCAGTGTTCGCAGTGCAGTTTTTTTAGGAAACATGATTGGCTGTCAGCTGGTGGTGATATCGATGCCAGTCGAATGTCGCCTTCCTTGTTGTTCTTAGCCTTGACAAGCCAAGCAGATGCGGGGCATGCCAGGATGCCGAGCGATGCCATAATTCCATATGTGTGCTCCATACAAGTTACCATTATGTCTGGATATAAAGATACATAAATACATATATATATATATATATATATATATATATGTATATATATATGTATATATATATATGTATATATATATATATATGTCCATTGACTGGCCTGTTTATAAAAGCATGTGCAGATCTAACACATATGTGTACATGTGTACATCTTTGCAGTCTATACACACACACACACATTTCGTATGTACATGTATATCGACATGATGTTTGTGCAGCTATCGTATACTGGTAACTGTATATATACATATATATATATATGTAAATATGTACACACACATACACGCATGCACATCAACAACATCTACACTGATTCTACACATGATTTGGCGCCGGAACAAGCACGCTGCTAAGTGTGGTTGCCGCTCACAAGTTTAAACGTCTCGGGCAGTCGCTCCCGCTCTATCTCATATGTAAATCTTCGCAACACAACAAGCCACAGTGTCTTTGTAATCCGTGCCCTCAGGACCTCAGGGCCCTGCTAGCCCTGCCAGTGATGATTTTCCCTCACAGCGGTTCCCCTCCTGGCGTAGCAGAGTCTGAAAAACTTATTCAATCGTTCTCCTGCGTCACGTCGGCAGTGGAAGGCTGATCTGGTCTTCACTCCGGTGAACACTTCGCAAGTCTCTGCTGCAGTTTTTCCCTGATTTGCTCCGTAGCACAGAATTGGAGGCCTTCTTCGCAAGCTTTGCGTGCTCCTTCATGATCGCCCATGCTTAGACGGCATTGGGCCTCGTTCGCCAACAGCACGGCAAACTGATGCCCTGTAACACCTGCTTTCTTCCAGATTGAACGAGCCCCCGCCCAACATGCAAGAGCTTCTTTGAACTTCTGGTTCTTGAAATGTATGTTACCATTCTGCTTCAGCTCTTCAGCAGATTCACCATCTTGGAGAAGAGCTCTCATCTCGTCATGCCCTGCATGATTGGCATAGTGGGTTGCCCTCGCCCCGTTCCGGTCGCTCGCCTTAACGGTGGCCCCTGACTCGAGCAAGCGAATGGCCACCTGCCGGTGGTTCTCTGCAGCAGCCATCATCAAGGGGCTGGACGCGTTCGCCGTCTTGTGGATCCTTGCATCTGCTGCGTTGGCGTCTGCCCTGGATCTCAGAAGCAGGTCCACCACTCCAGCTGTCCCGCTTTCGATGCCGCCCGGAGTGGTCGGCCAGAGTTCTCGTTCACATCGGCGCCAGCTTCAAGAATTAGTTCCACCATCTGCTTGCGACCGTCAAAGGCAGCACCGGCAAAGAGGCCATCGCACACCACAGGAATCTCAAACGTGAGCCCATTGCTCACTGAACCATCCAGAAGCGGCCGCAAAGCCGCAGCATTGCCTTCGGCGATGCCCTGCAACGTGTCCATGGCTCTCGACACCAGTGTGTCCGGCAAGACGGGATCCATTGCAATCTTTCCCACAGCAGGGACGGCGCCTGCAGCCCGGCAGCCAAGTTGTGCCAAAGCCGACAAGCCCTCGATCTGCTTTGCCTGCTTCTTGCTTTCCAAAAGCTTCGTGGCAGGCTCCACGTCTACGGCCATCGTCAACGAAAGGCGCTGGCAAAGCACTGGCACCTTGCAAGCGTCAGCCAGGTGCGCCTGGATCTCTTCAATTGTGGTCCGTGGACCTGCCTCCACTTGAATGACATCACCGGAAAGTGTGTGCACGTCCAGCTTCATGGCGAGTTGAGGTCGAGATGGCCGAATCCCTACGTCCCCACTATCAAACCTACACTTGCGGCTATGGTGCTGCAATGTTGTACTCCACTAACCAGAATAGGGCCGGCGCAATACAAGTACGGATAGAAAAAACAATCGACGATCGCCCTGTTGGCTCCATAGTGTTCTCCGGGCGGCCCGGACTGAGAGTCAATTTTAAACAAAAGCTTTACAGACCTGAGTCAATGCACCTTTCCGGATTCGAGCACGAGCACATCATGGGCACCACCAGGTGCCGACCTTACAGTTTTGTTGACCTGCAACTGCCGGTATCGCAACGGTCAGACAAGCAGGCGTTCATGCACGAATTCCACTTAGTGCATGAACGAGTGGAATTCGTGCGTGAAGCACGACAAGCATATAGAGTTCATAGACCCTCTGTGTCTCACTGCCTCACTCGGTTTCGACTTCTGTAGCTCTCTCGGCGTCTCTGCCTCTCCTCTCCTGCTCGCTCCTCTCTCGAACCATGTACTCTCAGATCCAAAAACGGGGGTACCCTAGTTTGGGGTCCGTAGAATAAGGATCCTTCCACTACAGGGTACTATGTTCAGCTCCCCTATCTTCGGAAACTCCAAAAAGCTGTTCTTGCCGAAGTTCTGGGCGATTCCGTCCAATGTGTTGGAGGATGCGTGGGCATGCACAAGGTCCATAAGCACCTGGCAACACACGCTCACAAACGAAAAGTCACAACATAGTGGCATTTATATAGTAGACTCAGGTTTGGGGCACATACATTTGGTATACTTAAAAGGGAACTATCCGACATCCATGTTGCTTCCCAGGTCTGGGTACAAGATAAGAAATGCCAATCGCAGA